TGATAATGCAGTTTTAGAGAAGAATTTTAGAATTGTTTAACAAAACGATAATGTAAACACTCGCAGTACCTCGGAAATTCGCAAACTGAAGAAGTACAGTGGTGTCGCCTCACCCAATGACAAATTACTCAAATTAATTTCTTAACCGAATATCAATTTTACAACTATGATTAACTGAAAAAATACACAACAACAATCCGGGTATCGAAATCTCTAAAAAATTTCGCTATATAAGAGAACCCCCGTTCACTGATTTTCTTTCAAATTTTGTTTATACCGGTTTGCCTCTCTAATCATTATCTAATAATCTCGTAAGTTGACCTAGGACCGGCTACGTTGCATTATGGGTGCGCCACATATCTACCAAATAGCAAACTAACCGCAAAATGCTGGAAATTTCTGCCAAAAAAAACTTCTGTGGAGCGACATCTACAATAGCGAGGTACGATATAGCATGTAAGTCCCGCCCTATTTTGTTTCCATTCTAAGGGGGGATATTTTGTGCGTGGTGGTTTCCCCCACTCTGACTATCGATGTCTGACTCCAGTATAAGTTTGCGATTACTCTGATATCCGCCCCGTCCAGTCCAATCAACTTGAGGGTATCCACCAGGATCTCATGTTTAACCCGGTCGAAGGCCTTTTGACAGTCTATGAAGCAGGCATAAACATCAGCCGAGATGTCACGGCTTCTCTGGGCGAGGACAGTAATGCCGAAAAGTGCTTGTCTCGTACCGAGGCCATTACGGAACCCGAATTGCGTTTCACTTAGATAATCCTCACACTTCGCATATATCCGACCATAAATGATTTTCAAAAATACCTTTAACACATGGTTCATTAGGCTAATGGTTCTGTATTCATCGCACTTTTTAGCCGTGCTTTTCTTTGGCATTGTTATGAACGCAGATTTTAGTCGTTTGGCAATTTACCACTAGTGCATATTTTGTTGAAAAAATCTGTGACCACTTTTAGGCCAATTTGGTCGTCTATTAGCTTGTATACTTCACAAGGAATCTCATCCGGTCCTACAGCTTTGCCACTTTTTGACTCCCTATTATCATATTCAACCTCTCTGCATGTAATTTGTGGTCCTTCGGTATCCCCTGAAGCTCTAAGCTCTCTAAAGATGCTCTGTTTGATCGTGAGTTGCCAGATGCTTCCTTGATCTTTTTATACATATTAAAGGAGTCATATGTCGCTTCTAGGTCTTCTATCTCTTTGCACTGGCTGGCCAGATAAGATGCTTTTGCTGTCTTATTAATAGCTGTTTGACTTTATTAGCTTGTTTGCTGTGTTTTAGTATCCTACGTCGTTCCTCCATTAAACCCAATATTTCGTCTGCCATCCAGGGTCTTCTTATTTTCAGTTTTACTGATGAGGTGTTTTTGACAAAGGTTTCTTATATCTGTTCTAATCTTGTTCCACTGGATGTCAGAGTCTGTCGCGTTCTCGTTGTCGGTTTCAAGCATTTGTGAAGTTGTTCTYGGACTATACTTCTGATGGGCTCCTTCCTTAGTAGTGTGCGGTCTATGCTGTTTTGGCTTTGTTTTTTGACAATTTTCTTTAACCTGATGTGTGATCGCTACTAGAGGATTGTGGTCAGATCCAATGTCCGCTCCTGGGTATGTTTTGGCTATTTCGAAAACGTTGTTTTGCCAAGATAAAGTCGATCTGATTGCGGACAATCATATCCTCCGTCTCCGCATTCGACGTCCAGGTGTACAGTCTTCTTTGGTGAAGTTAGAAAAGGGTGTTTGTTATGAAAAGGTCGTTCTCCTGGCAAAATTGAATAAGGCGATCACCCCGGTCATTTCTACGACACATTCCAAAGCCACCCACTATGTTCTGGCACTGCTCTTCGCACTTTTGCGTTAAAGTCACTCATAACTATAGTGTTGTCTGCCTTTTTTACTAGATACAATGCCTCGTTGAGATGCTTGTGAAAGCTTTCGATTTCGTCTTCACTACTTTTAGTTGTTGGTGCGTATACTTGAATTAAGTTGGTGTTAACTGGTCTTGAGTTTAGCTGGATTAAAATTAGTCTATCAGATATTGGCACTGATTCTATTCTCGATTTCGCTAGGGATTTAGATATGATAACGGCCACCCCATTATCGTGGGCTGCTCCTTCATTCCCCTCGTATAACACTTGGCAATCGTCTACGGTACACATTCCGCATCTCTTCCATCGAATCTCGCTAACGCCCAGGATATCTATCCGCAGCCTTTTCATTTCCTTGATTGCATTATGGATTTTGCCACTCCTATACATGCTTCTTACATTCCATGTAGCGACTCTCAAGCTCATGTTATATTTCTTTGGTTTTACACTTTCTGTGCCTTTGTTTAGCATTGCTTTCAACACCCCCCCCCNTGGTTTCCCGATGCCTTCTGCTACCGTTGACCATCTTTTGGTTGGTCCGCCTTTAGATCCTTTTTCACCATCCAAGGGCCTGCCTCTTGCCAGCTCATCGATCCGAAACTGTTGGCTGACAAGAGGGATCTGCTTATACCGGCAGAGATTCGGTCTGCTTCGTCAGGGACTGCTTATTCGTCAAAAAATAGAATTTAATGCTTATTTCGCAGCTCGCCTCTATATCTAGAGGCTGTTCATTATCCTCCACCTGTGACCACCTGCAGCACAGCCTCCTGGCTTCGATTGCGTTTTATAAACCATTCTCATTCTCAAGCCAGTGCTCACAGCTTTGCTTGCTCAAGTAGATATCGGTCGACGGTGGCTTGAGTATTGCTTCTGCCCAGCCATTGGTCGAAATTTTTCGATGAACCGTCAATTACTGTTTATGTTATGTTTTTACATTTTAATTTTTTTATTTTACTATAGTATACCATATAAGAACGGACAAGGTTTTTGAATATTTCGACGTAATAGAGCAGAAAATTAACGAAGACAACGTCTTAGTAAAATATATATCCGAGATGACAAAAATCCTTTTGAGTTTTTCTCGGATGTAGAATTTCGGAAAAGGTTTCGGTTTTCAAAGGCCACTATTATTGAGGTGATATTACCTTTTTTAAACGAACCATTATTGAAAGTGGATAATCGTGCATCAATTGCTGGTATGTTTAAGATTCTATACAAGCTGTTTTCTATTCTAAATATTCTATGCAACAAGTAGCAAAGTTTCTATGATTCCATGTCTACTTTCTTACATAAAGTGTATATTATATTGTAGTTTCTGTCTGGGGATCTTCGTTATATAAGTCAGTCTTTCTGCGATTCAAAAGACATGTTTACATAATAACATTGACACCATCGTAGATTCACCAAGTTTTCCAACAGTCCCAATATAAAATCACTAAATAAATACGAAATTCTCTAAAATCTTATAATCGACCGATACTTCACCGAGAATTCACGAAGTACTGTTTATAAATCGTCTCTCTCGGTTGAGAACGATCTTGTACTTGGCTAAGCATGAGCTGAGTACCGGCTTGAGTATCGTTTATAAATACTATTATATATAATATTACTAACGAACAATTGTTTTAGTGTCTGATGACACCTGCTAGATTGACCTATTCGCGGCCATTGCAAATACTATGGTATATGGAGTTTTAGGTTTCGGCATGAAAGCGTGATACGTGTTCACGAGCAATATCAACATTTTGAGAAGAATAAAATTTGCATTGAAATTAATGACCGCCATGTAGTGCATCATTTAAAAATCAAAGGTTCATTTGTTGTTAATTTTCCATTGGTGACAATACAAGATATAAAATAATTTTGTATTAAGTAAGTTTTTACAGTTCCAATTTTTTTTAATTACTAATGTTAAATTTGTTTTCAACATCCAACTACTTAGCATCCGCTAATATTTTGACGTTTCAAATTTAAGTAGAAAAAAACCACAATTGAAAATTAATTTTATTCGCATACTGTATTTCCTAGTAAATACTGAAGAATAGAATGGAAAGAAACTGACCCTATATGGATCATTAAAGGTAATTTAGCCTAAATCTCTATTGCTAACGACACACCAATTATGGAAATTCTGATTTATTTTCCTGACTGCGTGTACTGGTTATGATTTTCTTATCTTTTCTGGGTCTCAGTCAAAGTGTGAAGTAAAAGTTTTGAACATCCTTTATTTCATTACGTTTCGGCGAGACAACAGCGACAACAGATTTAAAATTTACACAAACTACAAACACCAATTCACAATTAAAACATGTATAAAACTATAATTAATTCTTATATTTTCTGCAGCAACAGCAACAGGTATTTCCGTTGTTGTTGCCATGTTAATTAGGCAGATTACCTTGAAAAACATAGTTGCCATTTTTCTAATATAGTTTTTTGTAAATTTCTCAGTTTTTGATAACAATTATTTTTTTACTATTTTTTCTGTACTTCTAAAACACCGCCAGACAACACCTCCAGAGGAATTGTATGTACCTGCACCCTGTATATTTTTACAGTACATTTAAAATAAGAAATGCGGATATTTACTAAAAAGAGGGACATTTTTAAAAATCGGAGGGACGCCGGACAGTCCATCAAAAAGCGGGACTGTCCCGCTAAAATAGGGACGTGTGGTCACTTTAAAGTAATAACAAGTCTTTCTTCAGTAGAAATACCATCAAAACGCTCTTGTTTTTTAATGGATTTAATGATCGGTTCAACTTTTTGAAGTAACTTTTGAAACACCGGCTTGGGCCCATACATTTAAAAAATTGAACTGCATCCATTCTTTTCATTTTCTCATAATATTGGAAGTGTCTCTTTTTTAACTTTTGTCTATTAATGGCCTGACGTTAAACCGCCGTGTTCGACGCTTTTTCTTCAATAGCAAATAAGAAGTCAAAATGAACGTAAAACGAAGTAGCCTGCATCTCCATATTTTGATATTAAAATGGAAAAGTAATAGTTAATGTGTGTAAGTGGATAAACACAACAAACAACATATTCAATATATTAAATCATATGGGCATACGATTAACAGATTTCTCCATCTGACCAATCAAATTCTAACGTCGGCAACTGCAAACTGCGTAATATAAATCACCAAAACACAAACTACGCGAACGATGAACGGCAGCAACTGCAGAGTTTATAAATATAGCTTTAATGTGCCCCTGTAAACCACATTTTTATATAAAAATGCCAAGAGTCAACACATAACCTGAATTTGATCCTCCTAAATAAACAACAATCTGATGAACTAAAAAAAAATTATAAGGGCCCTTTTTAAGGAAGCTCTTTAGGAAGCATTTTTGGATAAGACTATTTAGGTCAAGCCGATATAGGCTAGTGCCGATACGAATTTTCATAGAGTAAAAAAATAAACTTTCAAGGACCAGGTGGAAAATGTTGTTGAGGTTTCAACTTTTAGAAAAAATTACATTTATACAGGAAATCGCCGAAAACGATCAATGGCAGAATTGTAGATAATAAAAATGTAAAAAAATTACATTTAACACGTTTTCACATAATCTCAAATTAACCGTCGAAATGGCAAAAATCGATTTTTCAGTATCTAGTTTTTCTTCTCATTCTTCTCTCAACAACATTTTCCACTCGATACTTGACTGTTATTAATTTTTAATAAAAAAAATTACCAGCTAGGAAGAATCTGCTGGGGTGGGTTTGGCGGTATAGTTTCCTGACACCCTGTGCGTATAGTTATTAAGTAATTTGCAAGTTAAGGTTCATCAAATGTCTGAGATGAGAATGAGGGAAATTGATAAATTACAATTAACAACCTTAAAAGAAGATGACCTGATACCTAGGCAGCTATGGCAAAAAGAGAAAGACGCATATGAAGCAGATATTAAAAATTTGAAGGAAACTAAGGCTCACTTGGAAAATCAGCTGAAGTTTCAAGCTCAAGTGAACAGTGAACTGAAAACTCTGTTAGGTATAAATAGACGCGAAACATGATAAGATTTCTAACTTTTCATCTAACTTATATTCAAGTTGCTGCTGTTGGTGAGGATTTAGAGTCTAGAGTTCAGCATCTAACTGAAGACAAACTTTCCTTAGCCAGGGCGTTGCTCAATTCAGCCAATCATTTAACATCCCATCAAGAGCAGACGGAATGGTTAAGTGGCCAATGTGAGGTATGGAGAAGCAAGTTTTTAGCCTCGAGGTGAGTATTTCAAGTATTTATTTATCTTGGTAAAAAATAATGGCTCTTATATCTTCCATACATTTATTTACTCTGCGTTATTGGATGTATATTATTTACTATACCTTATTAAATGTATATTTGTAATATAGTGTAAGTTTACACACTATATTACAAATATATATTTTTCGATTGGACCTTAATTAAAAGATTGTCTTTATTTCTCATTCTTAGATGTATTTGTATTTCTTGATCTTTCAGTTTTATTAGTACTTCTTGCATGACCACCAAGGTTTCCTTTGGCCGGCCTTTTTTTGTTTTGGCATATTTTCTATCCTTAGCTCTTTTCTTATTTTTACCCGTTTTTTTCAACAACAGGCTCAGCAGTTTGAACTCGCTTGTTCTCTTGTCCCTCTTGCTTAACTTTGTCTTCGGAACGCTTGTCTGTAATGGTCTCGAAGGCCCAATGATTCGGCTTGCAAGACCAGTATAAATGGGAATGAATTTCTGCTTTTCGAAGGACCAATGTGGTTGAAAGACGAGTGTTTGGTGGGTAATGTTGGAAGCAGTTGCAGCAATAATAACGATCTGACGATTCTGTATGTGCCTATCTATCACTGGTAAAGACCGTTTTATTCAATGACTTTGGGCGATTGGGCTGGGCAGTATGGCTGTACAGTGACCGAGAATTCTGAGTTGTCGAACTCGATTATGACCTTGCGTAACTTAAAGTAACCGGCCCGAGGGAGAAAAGCTTCCAAGAGATGCGATGGCAACTTGCCCTAGTGCGAGTCGTTCTATATTGTTCCATCTGTGTTCCATCGGTGTGGACGAGAGCGGACTTGCTTTTGAGAGACTGCTCCCGACGGTTTTTGAGAGACTTCTTCGAGAGCTTGAATGTAACAAACCCGAGAGAGGACTTGCGAGAGAGCGACCGACTTCCGCAAGTTGTTAATAGAGACTCGTTTTGTTTTTGTGTGTGTTTAAGGAGACTTCTCTGCACCCATTGGTCTTGTCGACCCGGGGGGAGGTGATCAAAGATCAAAAGGATCAAAGATGCAGGGTAAGGGAACGTTTAGTGGTATTCCTAGAGTTCGTGTTACGGCTCTATTGAATTTCGCAACATGCCACTTAGTTCTTGATGTTTGTTAGACTAATTGAAACACACACTTGTGGAAAAAGCAAATAATATAATTTACGACTACGGTTGATACTACACATACATGACAACTTGAACAAACCTAACATAACCAAACAGTGTTACCAATATTTACTTAGCAATTCACTCTAACACCCCCCACAGAACTGTTAAGTTCACAATGAATTCCCAATCCCTCATTACACGAGTTATGTCCGGATACTGGTAAGGGCTTCGTTATAACGTCGGCAATCATTTCCTTTGAAGAAATATTTTTTACTTGTATGACTCCTTCAGCAACAGTTTCTCTGACAAAATGGTGTTTTATGTCGATATGCTTCGTCCTCTATTTATAATTTCCTGTGTACCAAATCAACTGCGCCCTTATTATCGCAGTAAATAGTTACTGTACGCTGTTTGTCAATTGGACAGATTTCTCCCAAAATATTCCTTAACCATATGGCCTCCTGTGTTGCCAACGCCAATGACATATACTCAGCTTCAGTTGTTGAAAGTGCCACTGTTGCTTGCTTCTTTGAACTCCAGCTAATGGCACCTCCCTGGAAGACAAATGCATTTCCGCTCGTGGATTTCCTATCTCTCGAACTGTTCGCCCAATCAGCATCACCATAACCTTCCAACATTCCATTTGCATCACGTCTGTACTTCAAAACAGTGTTCAGAGTTCCCTTGACATAACGGAAAACTCTGTTTACAGCATTCCAGTGTATTCTCTGAAAACAAGAGTTATATCTACTCAGTAAACTCACGGGAAAAGCCAAACCAAGTCTTGTGCTCTGACAAAGGTACATTAGTGAGACAATTGCTTCCTGATATGGAATATTTCTTCGTTCTTCCTCAGTCAAGGGCGCATCCACCGTCTGATCAAGATCTGTACCTAAATCCAGGGGAGTCTTCGAAGGATTGCACTCCAGCATCTGGAATCTGGAGAGAATATCCTGGCAATACCCTGCTTGACTCATTGATAAGGTTCCAAGCCTGCGATCACGTACAATTTCAATGCCTAAGCATTCACTGATTTCTCCCAAATCTTTCATCCTAAATTCCCCCACAAGATTTGCCTTTATCTTCCCCTTCAATCTTGAATTGTTACAAAATATCAATACGTCGTCCATATAAATTGCTACAATTAGCACTGCGTTATCCTGAATGTTGAAGAAAATACACTGGTCTCGGTTGGACTGTTGCAATCCGAATTTTCTCAAAGCACGTGCCAGTTTAAGATTCCAGTTTCTTCCACTCTGTTTAAGGCCATACATGGATTTATTTTTGAAAATTATGTTATCATCGGGCATTCTCACATAAACATCTTCTTCAAGGTCTCCTTGCAAGAATGCTGTACGCATCCATATGGTCAATATCAAGATTATACTTGACAGCAGTGGCTAGCAAAAGACGGAAATAACTCATTGTCATTACGGGTGCAAACGTCTCCGTATAGTCTATACCTTTTCTCTGAGCACATCCTTTTACTACCAGGCCGGCTTTGTATCTTTGTATTATTCCATCTTTATTTAATTTCCTTTTGAATACCCACTTGAGGTTTAATACCTTTTTTCCAAGTGGCAATTTACTACACTTCCATGTGTCATTTTTAGCCAAATAATTTAACTCTTCATCCATTGCGTACTTCCATTGTACACATTCAGATTTTTCCAAGTCTTCTGCAACAGATAACGGTTCTCTCTGATGAACTGATTCGGCTCCGTTAACAAGATATGTATAGAAATCATCATAAGTCTTTGGCCTTGCTTGTCTTCTTCTACATCAGGCATAGCTTCTTCCGGATCAAAGTCCGAATCATTCGTATCTTCATATGGTGAGTGATTACTGTTACTTAATAACTCTTCGATGGGAATACTCTCACCTGAATTATCGGTCTGAATTTCAAACGGTTGCTCTGGCATCTCCCCAGGTGAACACTCTTTGTCAGATTTGTTTAGAAATTGCTTTTCTATGAAGACTACGTTTCCACAAAAATAATCTTCTGCTTTTCCAACGCATATAATCCATAGCTTTTGGAGTTCTCATAGTAGCCTACAAACATACGTTCTTCAGTTTTATTATCCAGCTTTCGTCGCTTTTCCGTTGGCACATGCGCAAAAGCTCTACATCCAAACACTCGCAAATGGGAAACTGTCGGCTTCCTTCCTGACCACGCCTCTTCAGGGGTACATTTTGGAATTGCGCTTGCAGGCAATCGATTTACTATGTAAGCAGCCGTGTTTATGGCCTCAACCCAATATGATTCGTCCAAACCAGCAGCAGCCAGCATGCAACGAGATTTCTCAACCAATGGCGGTTGATTCGTTCGGCAGAGCCATTCTGTTGCGGCGGGTAGGGTATGGTTGTCTGATGACGAATTCCGTTAAAGTTTAAAAACATTAACATACGCCTATTCACATATTCGGTCCCATTGTCCGTTCTGATACTTTTAATTTTCAATCCTGTTTGATTCTCCACAAAAGCTTTAAATGCTTCAAATATTTCAAATACCTCATGCTTATTTTGCAAAAAATAAATAAATACCTCGAGTACAGTCATCAATGGTCATAAAATATCGGTGTCCTCCACGAGATTTTACCTCTAATGATCCACATGTCGGAATGTATAAGTTCTAGAGGCTTCCTTGCTCGTACTCTAGTATCTCTTTTTGCAAAAGGCTGACGACACTGTGTTCCTTTAATACAGTGAATGCATTCGATCTGCCATTCACCAGAATGACATTACCAAATGAATCACCTTATTTAGATTCTCGTCACTAGGATGTGCTAGTCTCATATGCCACAAAAAAAAATTAGGGGTTACAGTGCAAGAATTAACATAATCCATCTGATCAAGTTGAGTTGCGGTGGCAATGACTTTGCCAAATTTGTCAAATATTTCACATTTGTCTCAAGACAACAAGTTAGCACAAATCTCTGGCACTATAACTGCATCCTTAATGATCTGCTCTGACGGAAGTGTAATATCGCCCATGCATTTTACAGGCAGTTTACAGTCATTCGCAATTGTAACAGATTGGTGGTGGTACTCACGTTGATTTGTCAACAAATTAAAGCTATTTGCAACATGCACAGTAGCTCCGGAATCTACATACCACGCATTTGGCTTAAGAGTTTGAGCACTATTTGCGGCCATCACGGTAGTTAACACATTTCTTCTAGCCGATCCTTCAGACTCACGACGATAATCACTGTTCCTTCTTCACAATCTCTCGCGAAATGTCCATACTTATTGCATTCAAAACATCTTGGACCCTGTTCTTTCTCTCGGAATCTTTGTCCAGCTTTAGATGGAAAACTTTGTTTTGTAAACAACGCATAGTCATCAACACAAATATCTGACCTCTTGACATCCTGCAGCAGTTTGACTTTGACAGAATCAGCCCTGTGACTGACAGAATTATCTTCACGCCCGAACTTTATATTCGCGCTATTAGTGATGTCGTAATGACGTTTGATGTGTTGCGGTAGGTCAGGTTTTTGATCCAAACATTGAACCTTTTTCATCGGTATTTTTGAATTTTCTGATTTTGTGTGCCTTTAACGTGTTTGAGAACTGTGTAAAGTCGATTTATTGGTGTGGTATATGGTTTCAAACATCTCAAATAGTTTAGGTAAGATCTTTAGCGTAGCTTCTCGGAAACATATCGATTTAACTTTATCATTTTTATGTTATCTTTACAGCATCAAGAATATTTAGTGGTTTCCAACTGCAGAATTACATTTTTGGGCAAACAGTAAGAGRTACATAAACAAAAAGTATATATACAGGGTGATTCAAAATTGGCGTCATTCCTTTTAAGGGGTGATAGAGGCTCCCTCGGGTAGCACGAGAAAAATCTTAAAAATTTTCTTATCAAAAATTTYTAGAAGATTAACAGTTGAAGATCGAATTTCAACTTTGTTATTAAGCATTAATTTGAAATTGTTCCATGTTTAATTGGTAGCATATTGGAATACTTAAGCATTTAAAACTAAAAATTACGATCTTTGCTTCAAATTACGAACATTTTTGATATCAAAAAAGTTCTCTTCTACAATTTTTTGATGAAAAGTAACAGCGGCAATATTGTTTTTTGCCATTAACAGATAGTTAAAGGTGGATAGCCCTTGTCAACAATTACAATAATTTGTCAAACTGTGACTTA